ACTTGATCACTGGAGTGTAGCAATGGGAACTAGAGGATGAAGTCTACGCGATGAGCCCAAGAAAGGCGAGACTGCTAATGGGGTGCCAATGAGTTATCAAGAACGTCATCAGAACATGATTTATCAATAATATACCTCACCCTCAGAGCCGAAAAACTGGCCTGTACATCTACCAAAATATATCAAAGTGCACACACACACGGGGTCCACACATCTGGCTGTCCTCCTGGCACGTGCACCATTCTCCGGCATGAGTTTGGTCCACCAGAACAAACAGAGAATGACCGTCCGGTAACCGCCTAGCTTCGACCGTGACTAGAATAGGTTTGATATCTCAAAGGCTTTCGACCGTGCCCATCAATAATAGCCTATTGCCGAGGTTCCAACGTACCTCCCGATGAGATGGCCGCATCAAGCACAGTAGACGATGCTTATTTAGAACGGCGACGTCAATACAAGTGTCCACCAGGGTTGGGCGCCTTCTTACCATAGGGTTTCTCAACGGTCTTGTTGCTTCAGTTAGTGGTCGCGTGAATACCGCTCGCGTAACTAACTGCCGAACTCATAAAATGCAATGACCTGGGATTATTCAGAAGTAACTGAACGCAAACTCGTTCTGCCCACAAGTTTTCTTATCCATCCGCCAAACCCTCCCTACGTCGGCTCTCGTCCAGCAGAATGTCCCTTGGTCTGTCCTATTTGGACAATATCGAATTGTCCTCAAATGGGAACTAAACCATGAAGATCCCGGCTTCAACTTTCGCTGTCCTAAATGTCCCCCTCGCGCAATCACCGATGCGAAACTTCAGACACTTGCTACCCACCAGAATGGTTGCATTTTCCACACTGTCTTACAAGACTGTTTTCTCTTAAAATCATTGTAGGGTTTTTTGAATCAATCTGTTCCTGTTTCAAGCATGTCCCGTTGTTACGCACTGAGCAAGTTCTGTTCATTCTCCTCGGATTGACGTTTTAGTTCCTTGCATTACAGCTTCATTGGCGCTTTTCACCAATTCGAGTCGGCAGTTCGTACAGAGATCCTGACTATGCGTTCCGTTTATCTTGTCAATCATCCTGCTAACTAAAAAAATACACGCGGTCTACGCAACGTAGCCCCTCCGCGGGTGTGTTCGGAATGCACATCGCTGCACAAGCAGATGTTTACTTCTCACCAGCTAGATAGGGTTTATTCCGAGCACCTGTCTGGATGACTTCACGATAACCACGCACGAAAGCCACTAAGAGCATTTGACGTATCCTTCTGCCTCCGTACACAATGCGTCAGTCAATCTGCCGGAAACAGATCCAGACATTCCACCGTGGACCCCGCAGTCGAGATTGAAACCGCTTGCGCCAACATCAGGCTACTTGGGGATTTTCGCGAACCCATGCATCTTTGACGGTATAACAATGGTTGTTTGTGATTCCACTCGGGTTCCTGTCCCCAATGTTTCTGTCTTCATGCAATTACTCAAAAGACTCCATTCCCAAGTCTCATATCCATCAAGCCGAAACGCACAAATTACATGTCCTGGTAACATGCAAAAGGAAAAAAGCGATTCCATCTGAAAGGCGATAAACACTGAACCACGTAGAAGCTCCCGGCTTTTTGGCATGGATTGGTTCCACTCACAGGACGAAATGTGAGCCCAAAATTCTTCAATGTACTTACAAAACAAACGTTGAGAGAATACAACCACATTTATTTCCGGCTATAAGTGGAATAAAATCAGTAGGGCAGAGAATATATAAAAATAGAAGAAAACATGTCTGGCTGTGATCAAGGAAGGCAAGATAAAATTTAAAGGAACAGACACAGTGGGGACGGTTGGAGCGGTAGAACAGCCTAGGCGCATGAAAGCATTAAACGCGGGCATTTGTCCAACGTTTGATACAATGATGCAAGAGGCAGATGGAGGAAAAAGTGATGATGGAACTGAAATGTGAAAAGAATAGAGGAGCGTGTTAAAAGTTGGTAGTAGATACATTCGGTCGCCATCAGCAACAGTGCAGCGTCTGAAGCCACAAGTGGAATGTCACTTACACATTCAGGTAGGCATTAGGAACCTTAAACACCCAAGATACAAGGGAATGCGACCACAACGCAACTCAGATTTTAAACTGACCAATCGAACTGCGAGAAACCAACCGGGGACCAGCTAATCACTCCAGATCTATTAGATACCGTTTGGAAACTAAATAAACAAACGCAGGTTAGGAGTTGACTGACTGAAACCCGCACTGATGATCTCATCTCGGTTGATGGTGAAAGGCTCACAGTTCAGCTGCCAAGCTCAGTGAACAGACCAAAATCCAAGCGGCGCACCCGAGCGATCCACATTCCGCGACATCAACAATTATATATAGTACACACGGCTTCTAGATAATGAGAGAAGTTGATGGCTTCGACAGCCACCCAGAAAGCAAATGGGCTAATTCAGTGCGCATGATTTGGCGTTAGTGGATTGTTAGGCCCATACAACTAGGCATGATGAATTCTCATCTGAAAGTATCACTCATGTTTAGAATAGCTTAAATTTTGGACTCCAAAAATATTGAATGAACCTATACTATGGTTGTTCCAGGCTGTTGAAGAACGAAGGGGGAAGCGCTCTGAGTAAGTAAATGCTGACTAAATTTATGGTCATGTTTCGTAGCTCAAAGTTGACTTTCAATGCCTATGGACACAATTATGGCTTCTCAAAGTTCGAAAGGTGCGGACTGCAGCACAGATGAAACAGACATCACTGCTTCACGGTTTCTATGCACAGATTGATTTCAATCTTCACACTTTCCTTGTTCATGGTAAACAATGTACCAAGAGCCTAAAACACGAATGCAACAAAAGCGGAATACGCTGGTAAGATTGATGCTCAAGTCACTTCACCCAGTGCTTCAGGGGAATCTTCGACTTGACTGACAGAATGGAACGCGACTGTCATTACGATGAAACAGGAAAGCCGTGAAGCAAAGGAAATCAGACGTGAGGTTCACAGACCAACCAATGCAAGTTACAATGACCAACAGCACTGAGTAATTCTGAGACGTAAACTGTAGGACACCTCCGTCAGCGTTACAGTCAGTCAGTCAACCGGCTAATGTACACAGTCCTGGGGGCTCGCCCCAAGTTCACTTTCCTCTGCCTATCTAGTGACCAGGAAACACTAAGTGTTCCCTTCTTGGAGCGAGTAATATTTGACAGTCCGAAACTTTGTGCTACACAAGAACCCCTTGTTGGGTGGGAAGTCGGCCTTTGGCAAGAATACTGCTTGCCACCAGGTGAAGCAAACGTTCTAAGCCTATCCATCTTGTGCTCTAAATCATGTTTCTCCAAACGCGCGCACCGAGTACGTTCCCGTTCCTGGAACATGGAGGCACAGGTTGTCACCCAGTTTGTACGTCCGACCGTTGAGTGATCCGAAACGCTCTCATTTTCAACACAAACATTAAGCACAGTTAGTGTGTAATGACGCTAATGCCTGAGCTCAGCTTCAGGTTTTATTCTCTCAAGCTAGGATTTTCAGAAACAGAACCGTCAAGGGTGCACAGAGTGCAGCAGTCGCCGAAATCCGGGTCAGTATACATACACATCGCGTCGTAACCTGAGGTGTATGTGGTGATAACATTCTGGAAATTCGGACGCTTTCCGGATGCGGCATGGTCAACCGGCATTCAAGAGATACTGATTCATAATTGACTGTTGGGTCCGTACTTTCGGCCAATCAGAACTCGCCTTGGTGGTGGACCAGTAAGTGCCTCGATCTTCTGGTCAATCACAGGCGGGTGAGGCTTTTCAAGTGCAGAAACGCGAGTGGTAAAGTGGTTTTGGTGTAGAATTCCAGGTAAAGTGGTATAGAATCCCTCTTCCATGAACTCAGCGAAGAGTTCACTCAGTCCGTACACCCAATAAAGTGATGCTCTAATAAGCAAGCACACTCCGTATCCACAAGTTACACGAACGAACCGATGAAGTCACTGTTCACCTCTTAAGGGAGAGGATAATAACATATGTAGTCAACTTCTTTAATCAAGCACCATTTCGACGGTTGAAAGGACCAATCTTTGCTTTAACCAGCTACGCTGAGCACAACTTTAGTATGCATACCACCCAGAATGAATGTAAAGTAGGTAACAAACTAGTAAGGGTGGAATTGTCTAGGCGATTCTGTTCCTAAGGTTACCAATCAGTTTACCCCCGCCTTTGCAATACTACCCACCCAGAAGGGGCGAGATGGCCCAAGTGGTAAGAGCGCGAATTTACTGACCGGAAGGTCCGTGATTCGAACCCGACCTTTGCCTCTCGACTTCCCCTGTCTAGGTTTGGGCAACCTGGCAGTATCCCAGTCCTCGTGCAACCTACGGGTAGCATGACAGCTAGGCACCGGAAGGGCGCTACCGCTGAACACTTAACTTTACTTTACTTTCTGCAATACTACAATCCGAAATAATTCTGCTGGTGTCCTGAAATTGGCTACGCAGCCAATTTCAGGACAAAAACCTCTCCAACAACAGTCTCAGTGAGCAGTTGACGACGCACTGACGGTACACTGAGGATGTCTCCTTGACTGGGGACGAAACGTTTACAAACCAATTGACAAGCACGCGAACAGATCAGCGGCCAGTGTCGTACAAGCCGGATTGATGAATGTCGGAATGAGACGAAACGACACCGTTTAGAAGAGTGAGGTAATAGATGGCCAGAGCGACTACGATGAGAAACGAGGAAGACTGAGAATAACTTACGCGACGAACGGATGTTCAAACGACAAGCACGCGAACAGATCAGCGGCCAGTGTCGTACAAGCCGGATTGATGAATGTCGGAATGAGACGAAACGACACCGTTTAGAAGAGTGAGGTAATAGATGGCCAGAGCGACTACGATGAGAAACGAGGAAGACTGAGAATAACTTACGCGACGAACGGATGTTCAAACACGGGCGCTTTCCACGGATCAGAGACCATGCATTTTGGCGCGCATCAAGCGGGATCCATGAGACACTACAGCGATGTTGACGTGACCTCATGAAGGCCGTGGGCTAAGAGCGTTGGCGGCAACTCTAAAGTCAAACGGTCAAGTTGGGCGAGGTATTCAGCTGCGGCATCCCTTGGTGCCCCGTGTTCCGGTGGCCTCGGTAGATAGATGAACAGTGCGGTAGTGTCTGGATGACAGTTGGAACGGATCAGGGTATTCAGAGCCTCAACACAATAGAGAGGGTCCGAAACGCTTTGGAGAAGGACTGAATCAAGTGTGACTAATTGGATATCGGCCTAAAATGAGAATGCATGGCAGTAACTGAGGGATCCGGATTAAAAGGGCTTTCGCATGATCACGAAACTTTTTTTGGACCACACTCTGTCCTTGTTTATTATCCGAAAAACTGGTAGAAACTGAAAACCAAGGTTCAATTCAAAACTAGTTCCCCGGTTTCCGTCAACCTTATGTGGGCCGTCGAAGATTTTTCATCCAACTTAGGAGCAGTTGTCTTCGAGAAAACATACTGCGAAATGCGACGAATACACTAATTTGCAAGTCAATTCGGTTTCCGCGGGAGACTCAGGTGAATCTCTCATTTGTGATGCTCTTCTGCACACAAGCCGCCTCATGTTTCAGTTGACATGATAATCGAGATATCACAGTATATTTCCATGAGGGAAACTATTCACAAGGTTGCTGAAAACTCTTCGACAACCCGCGACCGGCTTCGCCCTTCTTCAAGCGTATCAAATTGATTTGCAAATCAATGTATTTCTCGAAAACAGCCCAATTTGGGTTCAAGTAGAACATATGGTCGACGGCAACTCGGGGACTGCGCCTATCTGCTTAGCCTCAAGAAGGGCGAAACCGGTCGTGGGCTGTCGAAGAGTTTTCAGCAACCTTGTGAGTAGTCCCACCATGAAAATATACTGCGGTATCTCGAATATAGTGCCAACTGAAAAATAAGGTCACCTTAGGCAGCACATTCGGTGAGAGAAGCCCACCGTGAACGAAAGATTCAGATGCATCCAGTTGAGTCTTCCAAATTCATGTGTAGGATCCATCTTCCTTGGACCTACAGCAACAAACTATGAGAACGGGCTTGTTTCACCCAAGTGCCTGATGACATGTGATGTCGGGTCCGCGTTGTGACTGCTTTGGTTTGACTTTGGATTCTTTAAGCTGTGTGACGGTTTAAGAAAACGGAACTGAATTTTTTGGCTTTGGTTTCCACTCTACTAGAACACATTGTCTGTCATTCGAAAAACTGGAGTTTTCGCTTTAACGTTCTTCAGCTGGGATGGAATGCACATTTTCCAAAAAAAATGGGCAAGTAAGCCGTGATTTATGGATATCTTGAGGATGGTTTTGACAGGTGCGGATTCGCACTTCATCATACTGGGTAGTAGGCTAAATTAATTGTAACGCCTCGCGACTGTGCCAAGAACAAGCACTACTGACGGACTGTACCATTGAAACCGATGAAACCTTCAAACACAACGAAGTTAGCGATCGAGCGGAAGACGAAGTGGAAAGATGCACCAACAGTGCCAAAGGCTGTCTTTCAACTAAAGACAGGAGCAGTTCGAACAACGCACCTTCTGGTGAGCAAGTTCGGGCCTCAACCAGTGAGCTATCTCGAGCTCAAATCACGCGATGGCTCAAGTGGTTAGAGCGCGGATTTACTAACCGGAAGGTTCATGGTTCGAACCCGCCCCTGGACTTCCCCTGTCTAGGCTTGGGCGACCTGGCAGTATCCCAGCCCTTGTGCTCACTTCAGGAGGCATGGCAACTGGGCACCGGAAGGGGTGTTACAGCGTGATATCATTGCAGACCGAGAGTGTCTGGACGTTCGACCGCTGGTGAGGTGATTGAGCACACAACCGCAATGTTTGTCTACCACGACAGCTCAGGTCACCGTGGTTCGGCTATGTTCGTCGCAAACTGGAAGAGGAAATGGCAAAAACACACTCTCCAGGGCTGCACGCACAGATCCAGGATGTTGTGCATGTGATTTAGCCACTACCAAACAGGTTGGCGACAGTTTACAGCTTAAAGGGGCTGACGGTGTTAGTCGGGGGGGGGGGGACAGAAAGGGGGCACAACATAAAGATCCATCTTCCTTGGACCTACAGCAACAAACTATGAGAACGGGCTTGTTTCACCCAAGTGCCTGATGACATGTGATGTCGGGTCCGCGTTGTGACTGCTTTGGTTTGACTTTGGATTCTTTAAGCTGTGTGACGGTTTAAGAAAACGGAACTGAATTTTTTGGCTTTGGTTTCCACTCTACTAGAACACATTGTCTGTCATTCGAAAAACTGGAGTTTTCGCTTTAACGTTCTTCAGCTGGGATGGAATGCACATTTTCCAAAAAAAAATGGGCAAGTAAGCCGTGATTTATGGATATCTTGAGGATGGTTTTGACAGGTGCGGATTCGCACTTCATCATACTGGGTAGTAGGCTAAATTAATTGTAACGCCTCGCGACTGTGCCAAGAACAAGCACTACTGACGGACTGTACCATTGAAACCGATGAAACCTTCAAACACAACGAAGTTAGCGATCGAGCGGAAGACGAAGTGGAAAGATGCACCAACAGTGCCAAAGGCTGTCTTTCAACTAAAGACAGGAGCAGTTCGAACAACGCACCTTCTGGTGAGCAAGTTCGGGCCTCAACCAGTGAGCTATCTCGAGCTCAAATCACGCGATGGCTCAAGTGGTTAGAGCGCGGATTTACTAACCGGAAGGTTCATGGTTCGAACCCGCCCCTGGACTTCCCCTGTCTAGGCTTGGGCGACCTGGCAGTATCCCAGCCCTTGTGCTCACTTCAGGAGGCATGGCAACTGGGCACCGGAAGGGGTGTTACAGCGTGATATCATTGCAGACCGAGAGTGTCTGGACGTTCGACCGCTGGTGAGGTGATTGAGCACACAACCGCAATGTTTGTCTACCACGACAGCTCAGGTCACCGTGGTTCGGCTATGTTCGTCGCAAACTGGAAGAGGAAATGGCAAAAACACACTCTCGCCAGAGTTGCACGCACAGACCCAGGATGTTGTGCATGTGATTTAGCCACTACCAAACAGGTTGGCGACAGTTTACAGCTTAAAGGGGCTGACGGTGTTAGTCGGGGGGGGGGGGGAAGGGAACAGAAATGAGTCACAATATATACCCGGACATTGTTACAGATTTTCACGCATGAAGTACAGTATCAACATTGCCTGTCAAAGTTCGCATGACGTTGGCACTGACAAGGCGTTTTACTCATCAACAGCGGATAGCAGGCTGCGCCTAACCTACGATTACTAGGACTGCCACGGAATCCATAACAAGTCAGCTGATCCCTTAGTTAGAGACCAGTTAAGATTTACAAGAAATCACACTGATGGAATAGAGCACAAATAGTTAACAGTTCAGCAGTAGAGTGGAAAACTCACTACAATTCTAAGGTCGTGTAGCTTCAGCCAAAGATGAGCCATATTCGCAGCCGCATTTACCGACGCCAACAAATGGGATTCTGACGGTCCTTCGATCACCGGGATGATTGGGAAGAACACACGTAACAATGGAGGACGCGGACGACTTCTCCAATACGGTGATCGGGCAACAAGGCAGGCCAGCTGCAGAAGAAACAGTCCAGTTTTATCGAGCTCCGGATCACGGGGGCTGCCTGAGCTGCGGTTCACGAATTCCAAAAGATTTACCGGCCATATGTCAAAAAACGACGACTGATACTTGTCGACGCGTCTGACTTGTGTGGAGAACGAGTCCTGATAACTCATATTTGCTACACCCGCATTCAAGCTGGAAGCAACACCAGAATCGGTGGATGCCGTATGTCCGTGTCGAAGTCTGTGGAAATATAGCCGCATTTTCTCCAGTCCGGACAGGGAGTAGTCGAAAATAACCCTATCGAAATGACGGGCCAACACGACATTGTTCTGGAACAAAGCATCAAAATAAAGGATTAAAGAAAATCACACCATTCGCTCCCATGCCCACACACACACACACACACAGAGCCACACTTACCTCCATTCCAAGAATCTCTCGAATGAGACTGACATACTCGTCGACCGTTATTCGATGATTTCTGGAATCGCCATCCTCAAGCGACTCGCATATAGCTCCCAACCTGTCTTCATCGATGTAGGTAGATGGTGTTCCATTCAGCAAATCAGATGAAGAGTTGGCTGTTGAAAGAATACGGAAGCCGATAATGAAATACAACCCTGATGAGCTGAATGACTAGGCGCTAGTAAGAGGTAAGGAAAGCGTATAACCGGCGATTAGTGGAGCAAGTCAAATTCGTACTAGGTTGGGGACGACAGAAGTGACGGGTGTATTTTCAACTTCGGGGATCAGTTCAATCACCGGATGGGGACCTTAATGAGTTAGTATTGGAAATGTAAAAAAATAATAAATCGTCCATCTGCAGCACCCTTTCGGTGCCTAGCTGCCATGCCACCAGAAGGTTGCACGAGGCCTGAGATACTGCCAGGTCGGCCAAGCCTTGACAGAGGAAGTCGAGAGGCAGAAGTCGGGTTTGAACCACGGACCCTGCGGTCAGTAAATTCGCGCTCTAACCACTTGGTCCATCTCGCCCGTTGGAAAGGTAAACAGTATAAGACGGAGGGAGCGTCAGCGTTTCCGTTCCCCATGCCAGTCCTTTTGGGTTGATCCATAGAAAATGTGGACACAAAGACACGACAACTGCAACAGGAGCGGGGTGACCAGGATAACAGATGAGCTAGATTTTATACGCAAAAGAAAGGCCTATATCTGAGTGCTGGTGACGCAAGCAAGCAGGGAAGGGAACGGAATAACAGGAAAATCAAGCAAAATGGCGCTACTACGGTGTCTAAACCATCTAGCAAAAGTTTATGCTTCGAATTCCCCCAGGTGAGCACAGTTCGAACTCGAAAAGCTGTATAACGCTCTGAGTTTGGTTGATCTGAACAAGTTCTTATACAGTATTCTTCTCTGTTAGGAAGAACATGGAGGGATACCCAAGTGTCATCGTTGGGGGTGCTTTCTCCATTGACTAGGTGCCACAATGGAGGTTACCACAGGCTTTGTGCAATGAGGATGAAATTCGGTCATACATGACATGATGGTGATGTGAAGAGATGTGGAAAGTTTCAAGAGATCTTCTGTCCTGTCAATGAACCCCAACTGTGTTGAAAAGTGAAGCACTCATTGTACAGCTGTTTCGTTCTTGTTGGGAATCGCCAGAAGCCTCAAGAAACTTGAAGGTTTTCGAACCCCAACCTTCCCACCAGCGGTTGGACACTTGACCGTTTGGTCACGAGTGGCTGATCAGCAGTGTGATTAGCTCTCACTCAGACAGAACATAGTGCCACTTATCATCCAATCAAAGAAACGACATCACGTGATTACTGGCTTTTCAAGTGATGACTGCTCAGAAGGAAGTTGAATTCATCCCGTGAAAGTGTTCTTTTTCCGAGCTATTGATTGATGGTGACGTGATAATTTCCAGATATGTTCAAAACATCTCTAAGTCCATGACTGGATCCTCTCATCATTGCCAGGGGATGAATTGTTCTCACTCAATCCGTACGGTAGCTATAACATACTCCAAAGAGTGACAACGTGTGCGGACCTTGCGCGTCAAGCTGAATTAAGTTGAATCCAGTAGTCTAACCAGCTAACGTGTAGTCGGTTGAATGTAAAGAGCATCGTCATGGTTTCGAACTAAGTCCCCCCTTTTCAGTTGTGGGAGGACAGTTTGCTCCCTCAAGAGAGAGTGTGAGCGTTGGGACGGTTACACACAACTGTCATGCTATTAGCTGACAGAAAAAACAGCAGAGGAATCGATCGATTGGTCAAGCAGTCATTAGCTGTAAGCGTAAAATAGTGAATCACTGTTCTACTGAAATCACCAACCAACGAAAAGGTGAAGCCACGTTTGACTCATCAGCGAGAACCATCGATTCGCGTTTCATCCAGGTCCTACCAACTGAAAGTAGCATTTTCAATACGCAGCAACAATCGAATTTGGCATCCGATCGATAAACGAAACTGCGTCGACAGTAACGTGAGGGGGCTTGGTGATGTTCTGTCACTGAAGTCGACCAATGATGAAAAAGAAAGAGACTAAGCCGAAGCCCAGAGTTTCTGACCCGCGACCTTTAGGCCAGTGTTTGAACGCTTTAAGACTGAGTGGTGCAATGCCGTGTTTATGTGAGAGCTAATCACACCGCTGACGAGCCACTCGCGGCCATACGGCTAGGTGTTCAAAGACCATCGTTCACCGCATGAGAGCAGCAAATCAGTGAAAAAAGGTAGTAAATGAAGCAGCGCGGGAGTACGTTGGCCGCTCCGCTGAGAATCATTAGGAACCTAGTAAAGGAGGAACACGACAAGTCTCTGGATGTAAATTTTTTTGCGCTGTGGGAATAAAAATCAAAGAGATATTAAAGCGACTCACCTACGACTACGGCGGTACTGTCACTGGCGTGCAACAGTTCGGTGGAGTCGGTATAGTATTGATTTGAGCGCCGAATAGCAGGAAGTGTGGAATTACGCTCCGAAAGGATCTTGCTTAGGACATCCTGCCAAGGGTGTTGTGTGGAACAAAAAAAAACAATACACGGGAGATTCGGTTGAGTTTCTCGTGAAAACCAAATGAGTGTATTTGTCAAAATTAGTCCAATTCGGGTTCAAGAGGAACATGACGTTGACGGAAACTTGGGTGCTGCGCCTACCTGAGCCTCACGAAGGGCGAAACAGGTGGTGGGCTGTCAGATAATTTTGA